CCACACAGCTTCCGGTCTTCCTCGACCCGACCGGAGAAAAACACGTGCTGCAGGCAGTAGAAATACATTGATTTTAAAATCGTGCTGTGCTACACGAAAAAAAGGGGCAAATCGTGTTGGTGAACACGAATCAATAGATTAAAAATCGTGTTGGTGAACACGAAATGCCGTGAGACTGGGTTGCCTGAGATTAGCGCCTGCAGGCAGGCTCCATGGAGCTGTCAGCTCCGGGCAGCGCAAAATGCGTACATGAAGCGCTACGTCACGAACGCAAGACATCTACCCTCGTGGGGGCGCGCTCATGTGATTGGCTTAGAATTGAGGAGACATCTGATTGGCTATAGATAGAAAAAATGACAAGTACGAATCGGGTGACCGTCAGGAGAGTCTCAAAAACCCCACAAAACGAATCCGTGCACAGAAAGCGGGTTCTGTTTGCAGGTTCAGAGGATTCAAACGGAAAACAAATATGTGAGGATCAAAAATATACATGTACAACTTTTTTCTGTATTTTGATTTTATTTACATGCATATGAAACGGAACACATTTGTGTGTGCTTTGAAAAACACAAGTGTGGATCGTTCTGTGTGCATGTGTGTATTATGAGACTGTTCTGAGCCCATAGAGCTCAGTCCACATTAGTGATAGTTTGTATCTCTAATATATTGGAGGATATAGAGAACCGCAGTGACGCATCCTAAAACCCGGAAGTAAGTTAGCATTTTTACCACTTCCGGTTCCTTCGATAAAAAGCAATGGGATCTCTCCATAGGAGTTAGGAAAGTATCTGAACTAAGGTCTGTGGTTGAGACACACTGAAGAGACGGATCACGTTTTGTTCTAGGACATTAAATCATCAGCAGAGACCCCTCTGGTGATTTCTGAAGAGTGGACGTGTCTGAGAAACTATGGTTGTTACCAAGTGGCTGAATAGGACTACAGAAGTCGTGGAGGCCGTTGTACGTCATTACGCCGAACACGTGAACACTCCTCTGAGTTAGTTTCTGTTCTGCTTGAAAGCAAGTCCCTGCCTCCTGCAGAGTGTTCAAACAAACGCTTCAACTCGTTCCATTTAGAGTCTGTGTGTTTGAATATAGATCTGAAGTCGGCGTGACGTTGAAGCAGCGACCCTGCTGTAGTTCCTTTATAGCAGGGCTGGCCAACCAGTCAGAGGTTAAGAGCCACATTTTTTCTATGTTTCTGCAAAGAGCCACATCAAACACACAGTCACTGATACCGCTTGTTTCAGTTTTTTGTTTTCTGGAGACAAGATTTCAACCACGTCACTGATGCATCTTTGTGGCATTGGGATATATATTTTTGAAATCCTCAGGAGCAGAGAGAGGAGCTGTGGATTATTGTTATTGATTAATGCATCAGTGTTTCTTAGGGTCAAAAACACTAAACTCACAACTTAAAATGAAAGCGTTTAGTTTATTTAATAAAAGAGCACATGTTCAATGTGAAAAGTGACAGTAGTTATAGATTATTTGGAATTTGGTGCTATATTTATATTTTAAAAAAAAAATTATATATATTTTTTAAACACCTTGAATTTCAGGGGGGGGCGCGGGGCTCCGTTGGCGGGAAACACTGGATAGTGTTTAATCAACGATAGGTTTCCCCCCCCTCAAATTGGTTCACTGCATCGCAGGTATTATTGTGATTGGCTCTTGGGCCACATCAAAATTAGACGCGCTGTCATCCTCTCATACTGACACCACACATACACACGTAGGGAGAGCCGGGACGAAAGTAACACGGGACAAAGTAACACGGGACGAAAGTAACACGGGACGAAAGTAACACGGGACGAAAGTAACACGGGACGAAAGTAACACGGGACGAAAGTAACGGAGCGATTTTATCCGAGCCCAAACAACTTTGACCGGCCAAATTACGTCAGAATTATCAGCATTCAATACTTAACAGACCTACTAAATATCAGGTTTAACTATCAGGAGTAGCTAGTGTTGTCACGATACCAACATTTTGGTTTCGATACCAAGTCAAGAATTGCGATTCCGATTATTTTTCGATACTTTTCTTAAAAAAAGGGAAACAGTATTAAATGTAATTTATTGTGCTTTATTTCACACCAGAACCAGAACACAAACTTTTAAACAATGAGAACAATAAATAAAATAAATGACAATAATTTGTATTAAATACAATTAATACATTTCTCACAGACAGGCCTCGTGGTGTCCGTAGGCTTGCCCTCACTGTCAGAGATATAGCTAAAATACTTCCAAATTTCGCTTCTGGCGTCTTTTTTGTCAACAAGCCGAGGCGCAGCGGCAGTTGCACTCCCACTTGCAGCCATGCTTCTCGTTTTCTCACATACTCTGGCAGCTAGCGCGTGCACGAGAGAGGGGAGGCACTTGAGTGTGCTTGAGAGGGGAGGGACTTAGAGCGTGCTTGAGAGGGGAGGGACTTAGAGCGTGCTTGAGAGGGGCGGGACTGCAGGCACGGCTGCAGTGCAGGGAGTGGAAGCAGAGCGCTGAACACACACGGCTCTTATTAAAACGACGCTTTCTCACCGGAGTACTTTCCCCCGTCATTCTTAAAGTACCGATATTAATGAAACAGAGGAATCGTAACGTTTTTAACGGCAGGGTATCGCGGTACCTTTCAAGTATCGGTACACCGTGCAACACTAGTCAGGAGTCAGTGTCTCTCCCCCAAACTCACACATAGGCTATACAATTCGATATGAACTGAAGAGCCGCATGAAACTAGGGGCTCGAGAGCCGCGGGTTGGCCACCCCTGCTTTATAGCATAACGTTAGCATTTTGCTTCCGGCGACTAGATTTATTATTCGAAAATGATAAAAGTAGGGTAGACGTGGAGATTATCCGGCTGAACAAAATGTGATCCGTCTCTTAAATGTGTTTCAACCACAGACCTTATTTACAGCTATTTTCCTAAATCCTATGGAGAAATTGCATTGAATTTTGACGAAGGAACCGGAAGGAGTTTACTTCTGGGTTTTAGGATGCGTCACTGCGGTTCTCTATTGAGTGGCGAAGTCCCTCCCCTTCCGGTGGAGCTCCATGGGACCTTATTTCGATCCCGTTTGAATTGTGCCATGAATTACACATATGATGTTTGTCAATTTAAAAGATTATTTTGCAAGTCAAAAAAATTAAAATGTGTCATAAAACTGTGAAGTAACACATTTGTTTGTGTGAAACACTGAATGAACTACATCTCTGGTCTCGCACAACAACACACGTCACCAAGATGGCCGTCACTACTGTCTTGTCAACAAAACGATTGCCTACCCTCACTATCACCCTCTCACCCTCACTATCACCCTCACTATCACCCTATCACCCTCACTATCACCCTCACTATCACCACAATGAAACACGTCCAGAAGAATGTCATGCAAAGCTGCCTTCCTTTGATTCTCTCTGAACTGCCTGGTCTTTTTAATGTTTAATGTCAACCATTTGTGCAGATAGCGTGAAGTAGAAAAGATCGGCGATGCTAATGTAGCGTTAGCATGTCTGCCCCGGGGGAGGGGGCATCCGGGCTTAAAGGTATATTATAGAATGATCACACCGGTAACAGTACTCTTCAAAAGGTTCACGAAATATGACTACTACTCTTACTGTTTAACATGTTGGGTTACTTCATGTTACTTCATGTTAAGGCTAATAAAAATGACAAGGCTGTAATGCTAACTAACGTGCTAGCTACTAGCTAGGTAGCTAACTTGATCCAGCCACTCCTGGTCCTTTCATCAGACGGGAAGCGAAGGAACGAGCAAGACCCATTGCTGGTATGATAACAGCCTGGTACTAAGCACACAGGCATCTTGTTAAAGCTATCTGATCTTAGCCAGCGCCATATAGATAGATTCTATCTATATGGCGCTGATTTTAGCTATCTCTTAGTGGAGGAAAACAATTGTGACATCACTTACGCGACTCTGGGATTTGTAGTCTTTCTAGTTGCGTATTTTTCATAGTCTTATATTTCAACAGTTTTACGACAAACTGTGACTTTTTTGACCTGGAAATGATTTTTTTAATTGACAAACATCATATGTGTAATTCATGGCACAATTCAAACGGGATCGAAAGATACGTTTTCTCTCTCCATTGACTTCAATACATAATTTTTCAGAAATAAGGTTCCATGGACCGGAAGTAGATGGGCGTGACTTCACCACTCTATTGAAGCAGCAGCATGACCTCCTGTCAGTCACATGAACACACAGACCCCACCAGCAGATGGCGCTCCGCTGCAGACATTTCAACAACTTCATTCAACTTTTCTTCTGGGTCTGGGAGAGAAAGAGGAATTTAGATTCTGAGAAACAGACCCATGCCGAAACTAGATGCATTCAAACTAACCCTTTCTGAAGAACGGAAATAACCGTGTTCCTGACGGCTTTGATGGTTTCATGAGCTTTAAGTCCTTATGTGGAACCAACACGAAGACGATCTGCTGGTTTCATCCGAGTGTCCAGGTGTGTGTGAAGATGATGAGTAGAGCCATGAAACGAACACCAACATCTCTGCCCTCTTATTTCTCAGAGAGCCCATGATTACATCCCTCATTGGTCCGATTCACACTCAACTGTAATATGTTCTTCCTCTGCCTGTGCTTCACCTCTCCACCAAGTTTAGTACAATGAGTTGTTCAGTTATCCTGCTGACGGTCGGATAAATAAACCTAACAGAAAACATAGCCTCTTTGGGGCAGGCAATAACTATAAACTAAGATAACCTGTTAAATAAACCAACTGACTAGCTGGTTAGCTCACAAGATACATGAAAACACATACTTGTTGATGTTTCTGTTCTAAAGGAGCTATGCTAGCAGTTTCCCTCCACTCCCAGTCTTTGTGCTAAGCTAGGCTAAACATATCCCCGATCAAGTGGTGGTGACTTTATTAAAATTATAACACTTTACCTTTTATAAGCTAATACAATATTCAGTTCATCATCCAGCAAGATCAATCTGAAAGATGAACAACAGACGGAAAGTAGAAGTGTTTTAATATCAGAAATATTCACAACTTGTTTATCATAAGAGAATAAATATCACTTTTAAAATAAAGAGCCAGAGACGCAATCCTGAACCAAGCAGCCGAGATGAGCGGGTCAGTGATTTACATAGAAACACACGTCCTGTGTTCAGATGTCCTTAAAGAGAGACTCTTCAGGTGAACAGGGCGAAACTGTACCTAACAGAAGACCCCCCCCACTGACAGGTTTGAATATGAAAATGAGGCGTGAGCTTATTACATTTCCAGAACAGCAATGTGGAAATGAAGCCAGGATCAAAGTTCTTGCTGGGCTTTATGCAATGCTAACTTTTGGTGGATATTGATGGAAAAAAGTTAGCAAAATAAACGCTAAAGTCTATAATGAGATGTTTTCTCAGCGCGTGCATCTGCAGGTTCAATGCCTGGTTCAACTCACCTGGATGTTACGTCCTGAAGGGAAGGAACCAAATAAATATGATTTAATATAAAATGTCATCAGTCTTTGAAAGATCGGGGAAGTAATACTTGTCCAGAGGAACATCGTGGCTGCAGTTCCTCTAACGTCCACCAGGTGCTGCTCCATGAAAACAGTCTTCAGTAGAGAGAGAAAGGTGACCTCGGACCTGAGTCTCAGAGGTGACTCAGTGTTGTTAAACTGCTGGGGATCAGGTGACGTCCCTGCTGAGATGTGTCCATCACCACGCGGGGTCGTGAGGCGTTCACACTCCCAGCAGGATGCCGGAAAACAGAGATTCCTGCAGGACGCTGAGGGACGAGCCTGTGGCGTTGTCCAGAAACACCGACACATACTCTCCAGCCTACACACACACACACACACACACACACACACACACACACACACACACACACACACACACACACACACACACACACACACACACACACACACACACACACACACACACACAATTAGTTTGAATGCTAGATTACAGGTGTGATGACATGGTTACGGTATACCTTGATGTACACAGGAAGTAGTCACACCTTGATGTGTGGTTTTGAAGATGATCTGCCCTTTAGTTTGATGTTGTACTTGGACTGTATTTATGAATCTCTTTATCAGGTTTTTGGACATCGCCATCTTTTTCCTTTACTGTGTCTCAGGTTTAAAGCCGTAGCGTTTCATTTATTTTATGTCTACACATCGAGTCAACGATGATCCGAGCTCCAGAAGAGATGATTATTTTAACGTTTTTAAAGGGATTTAAGCTTTAAGATATTTCTTCTTGATGACATTGTTTAAGGGCACACAGTGGCGTTTTTATATGTACAAAAGTGGTGGGGCACAAAAAACTTCGATGTCTATATATAAGCTTCTGCAGTGAGGTTCATGGCTGCTGAGGCTCTGACTCTTCAGGTTTACAAATATTATATTCTGACCTAAATCAAAATATAATATTATTTTCAAAAGCTTTTTTTGTCTGATGCTTCAATTAATTTTAAACAGACAGTTCAACAGAAGAATACCCCAAAAATGTAATTTTATCATTTAAATATTGAATTGTTCTCTCTTAGTAAGATCCCATTTTCAATAAAATTGCAGTCTTACCTTGACTTGAAGATGAAGTCCATTTGCCTATCCTTCTGGACAAACATCTCTATTACTTTTTTGTAAAAGTCCTCCTTATGTTCTTGTAGTTTCAAAAGTCATAAATCTAATCGAATCAATAGATTTATGATTCGAAAATGATAAAAGTAGGGTAGACATGTGGATATTATCCGGCTGAACAAAACGTGCATTTATCTAACAGCTACGTTTCCCACAGATCTTATTTGGAGCTATTTTCTAAAATCCTATGGAGAAATCTCATTGCTTTTTTGTGGAGGGAAGCCATGCGCAGCTTACTTCCTGGTTTTAGGACGCGTCACTGCACCTCTCTCGTCTCCTCTTCACACACCACACTTTTCGCGGCACACGTACTTACAGCCAATCAGCTCTGAATGATGTGAGATGACGTATGGTGGGGATGGCAGCTCTATGCCCCTATGGTCATTATTTTTTTGCCACACACATTAAATAGGAAAATATTCTGAGCATGCGCAGTGTAGTTTTTACAGTCACCGTTCACTCAGACAGTGAGAGGGAGGGGCAGGATCGGGTTTTGTCCCACATGGCTCTAAACAGCTCAACAGGCACACACTGTAGACACTAATTAGAAGAACACAGACTAAAACAGCAATGAGACGAATCAGATGATTAAACATGATCTTAAAATATATTTTATATATATTTTAATTTATTTTTTGTATTTTTTTGTAATAATTATTTGTAATACTTTCTGCTGACTCTAGGTGGGGCTGTGCCCCTAATGACCAGTCGCCACTGAGGGCAGATCATATTGGACTCATCTGTAGGTGAGACAATGGAAAACTCACTGTGTGTGTGTGTGTGTGTACCTGTAGATAGAGTGTTCCTGTCAGTAGGACACTGAACGTTCCTCCTCCAGCCGCCACGCCCATCACAGACTCTACAGAGCTAACAGACAGAGAGACAGAAAACACTCACCACATAAACTCAACATTCTCCTACGAACGTGAGAGCAGCTGACAGGTGTTTAGTCCTTCAGCCCCAGAGATACACCAACATTGAAGGTTGAATTTCGATTCCTAATAATAAATCCTAGCAAACCTGTGTTGGAATCTGCATGGGATAGCTAACGTTAGCTGCTAGCAACTGGTGGAGTGAGGTTCAAGCTGCGTTCAGGAACAATCAGTAATGGGGCCTAGAAGGTCTATTCTGATATTATCATGATGAGTTCAAATGTAATCTTGGAAAATGTACTTGTTGGCTGTGGTTTCGGTGTCTAAATGCTAAAACTGACAGAATAGAAATGCAACACGTTTTGGGATGTCGTGGGATTCCTGGAGAGGAAATGCAGGGGATAGTTTGAGTGAACGGGACGAGGAGCGCTATGAAAGACTGGATTGAAGCTGTTAACATGCAATCTGCCTCCAAAAACCACCACAGAAGAAGACGTTGGACGTGCAGGTACTCACAGGTTGCTCTGGCAGAGAGACTCGATGCAGATCGCTGCTCTCACACTGTCTCTGAGTCTCACCTGGACTCTGTCACCTGACTCTGACACACACACACACATACACACACACACACACACACACACACACACACACACGAGAGAGGGAGAGGTTTATTATGTGTTTTATATACGCAATGTCTCTGTCTCAGAGTTAGTCGTCTCATAACTGTTAGTGTTTGTCAGTATATCTGAAATGACTAGGTTAGCTACATTAGCTAACTAGCTCACAGCAGATCTGCAGTAACATCAGAAGGAGTCATGTGACCACTTTGTTCAAATAAGACCATCAAACATTTCAGTTTCCAACAACGGAGACAGTTGTTCAGCTTTATAATCCTGAACGTCACCAAGCGCTCCAGCTGTGTGCGTCACTCTTTAATGTCCCCTGGTCTCCAGCTGTGTGTGTCACTCTTTAGTGTCCCCTGGTCTCCCAGCTGTGTGTGTCACTCTTTAGTGTCCCCTGGTCTCCCAGCTGTGTGTGTCACTCTTAGTGTCCCCTGGTCTCCCAGCTGTGTGTGTCACTCTTTAGTGTCCCCTGGTCTCCCAGCTGTGTGCGTCACTCTTTAGTGTCCCCTGGTCTCCCAGCTGTGTGCGTCACTCTTTATGGCGCATTTCCACTGCAGCGGGTAGCCCCGTTTAATCGTCCTCAAGCGGCCAGGCCAGTTTTTGGTGGCCTTTCCATATAGCGTAGCACCGGCTAGCGGGTACTTTTTCCCTCTTTTTCCGGCCCCATAACATCGTGGTTCTATCAGGCCAGGGCTGAACTAGTGACGTCAACACTCTCGACTGCTGATTGGTCTGAGAGAAACGTCACAAGATCGCGCGCGAGATCATCCCTAGCGTCGCATATATATTTAGAAGCAAGCTTGCAGCATTTTTGTAAACGGAGGAGCTACAAAAATGGCAACGTCAAAGAAAAGCACACCGTGGTCGACCGAGGAGGTGACGACGTTCCTACATCTCATTGGGGATGATACAATCCAGCGGGAGCTCGACGGGAGCCCCGCCTACACTGCGTTGCTACCCCAGGTCCTAAACTGTGATGGAAATGCGCCACGGCCTGGGACGGCCAGCGAGGCAGCCCGAGGCCTGAGCGAGGATGCTTATGGACGCTTAAACGGGGCTACCCCGCTGCAGTGGAAATGTGCCATAAGTGTCCCCTGTGTCACTACCTATGGTCACTACCCGATCTGCAGCTCTGCCCGGTCTGCAGTGCGCATGTGCAAGATGGTTCGCCATATTGGACAACTCCGTGAGAAATGAATTTAACTTCTGTTAGACAGCTATCATACTGAATAAATATTTACTGTGAATGTGTGCAAACATGTATGGCATATGGCTGTCTAACAGAACTTAAATCCATTTCTCACTTATTCTGACAATGTACTTAACCCCAAATAAAAGAACCCAATAAAAAGAGTTGTTAAATAATAGTGAAGTCACGTTGTAATAACAATAACTCATCTCTCTCCAGTTTTCTTTTTGAGCTTTGCCAAAAGGCACTGTGTCAAGTGTCCTACTTGGGTTGCCGTACAGAGTTGTCCAATATGGCGGACCATCTCGCACATGCGCACTCCAGATAGGGCAGGGCGGCAGATCGAGTAGTGACACCCTGGGGTCCTTCTCAGGTCGGTTAAATGGATTCCTTGCGTCCCTCACTTGCGTCGTTTCCCTGCGTCTAGTCCCTCCCACCAGGGAAGCAAGGAGAGAGGAAACCACGAGAAGCAGGAAATGAGTTTTCAGAGCAATGGGACGTCCTTTCCTCCGGAGCGTCACGTGAAGCAACGTCCGTTTGTGATGACGCTGCACAGCTGATCGTCTGACAGCAGCTCTGTCCCCGTTATTTCCACACACCCCCCCCGCCTCTGTTAGTGCACATTTACTGACACACACATTTGTATCATCTGTTGTAGACCCCAATAAATAAAATAAAATAAGAACTCATTCTCAGAAAAGATAAACGCCATTCTTAAAATGTATAAACGAAAAAAGCGATCATGAAAATGTTTCCAATAAATGAATAAAATGATTTTTGACCACTTTGTTGTTCAGATATATCACATATTTGTAACTAAATGAAACATGAATTGAAACAAAACACGGTATAAACTGAGGAGTGACTCCCGTGAGGTTCATGTGTTTTCTTCACTCCGCTGGGAAACGGCTCTCATGTCAAGAAGCATCAGATCAGTGCATGCGCTGCCTCGTCCAATCAGTGAGCGATACACAGTAAGGGGGCGGGGCGAGTGTCTGAGGATTTCATCAGAGGGTGGTCTGGTGGTTCCTCGGTTATCACTCCTCGCTCCTCGCTCCTCGCTCCTCGATCCTCGATCCTCGATCCTCGATCCTCGGTCCTCCGGCAGAAATAAGAGCCATGGGACGGTACTCAAGATGGCGCAGACAAATCAACTTCCGGTGAGACCGAGGACAGAGGAGCGAGGAAATGAAAAATAAGAGAAGTGAGAAGGGGCCCAGGTCTCCCAGCTGTGTGCGTCACTCTTTAGTGTCCCCTGGTCTCCCAGCTGTGTGTGTCACTCTTTAGTGTCCCCTGGTCTCCAGCTGTGTGCGTCACTCTGTAGTGTCCCCTGGTCTCCAGCTGTGTGTGTCACTCTTTAGTGTCCCCTGGTCTCCAGCTGTGTGTGTCACTCTTTAGTGTCCCCTGGTCTCCAGCTGTGTGCGTCACTCTTTAGTGTCCCCTGGTCTCCAGCTGTGTGCGTCACTCTTTAATGTCCCCTGGTCTCCCAGCTGTGTGCGTCACTCTTTAGTGTCCCCTGGTCTCCCAGCTGTGTGCGTCACTCTTTAGTGTCCCCTGGTCTCCCAGCTGTGTGCGTCACTCTTTAGTGTCCCCTGGTCTCCGTTGTGTTTTGAGCTTCTTCAGCGTTTTGTATTTGCAGCGTTTGGTTTCTGCAGCTTTTAGTAAACGCTGCCATGTCTCCTCAAGCTGCTGAATGTTCTCTAAATGCTGCAGGTCTTGTTGCTGGAGATGTTTCTTCATGTGGAACCTTTGGGTTTTTACATCTGCATCCTTTCTGAAGCTGCAGCGAGTTTCTCCTGATGGAAGAGGTTTGATCGTTGTAGCTGGTTTGCACCTGTCGGCCTCCGTAGGCTCACGCTTGGTGAAGGATGTGTGTCTGTTTGTGTGAAACAAAGACTCTTTAGTCCTGCAGATCAATAAGATAGAGGAGTGTTATCAGTGTTTAGATTTACCGATCAGCAGGCTGGCAGTCAGCTGGTAGAATCCGTTCAGCGGCGCCGTGTAGCGTCCGGTGCTGCTGTTGAAGCTCCGCCCCCTCTGAAGGCTGAGCTCTGAGTCCGCCGGCTGCAGGGGGCAAAGGTCACATTATATACACTGCAGTCTCCCCTGTGTGTGTGTGTGTGTGTGTGTGTGTGTGTTTGTGAGAGGATAATCAATATATAGAAGGGGCCAATAGAACTTGGCCCCTCCCCGCCAACCAATGGGAGAAGACTTTATCGAATCTACAGAGATAATAAAATGTGATGTAAACAAGAGATTGGGACTCTTCCTGTGAATCTGAGAGACAGATAACTACATGTTGTGGACTGTGTATCAGTGAAATAGGAGAAGACCTGGGCTGAGTACTTTTGCAGACGTATCGTATCATCTTATTAATAAACGCTGTTAACCTGACGAGAGGTTTCCTGGTGTCTTTTCAGCTACTCCTACCTGAAAGGATAGAAAGGCAGCAGTACCTGGCTGAAGGGCTGCAGCTCCAGCAGGCTGCGCCGCGGCACGATGACGGGCAGCAGCAGGCGGCTGAGGAAGGAGGTGGAGACCCGAGGCGGAGCGGCATCGCACCGGAAACACCCGCCCCCTCCGGCCAGGTCTGAGATATCAGAAACAAATAATGGTTAGCTGCAACTTTCAGTTTGTGTGTACAGACATATCGAAATACCGTTTCCCACAATCCCAAATACAAAAACAAATATTTATAAAAAATATGTATACCTATATATATATATACACATTTATATAAATGCACACATTAAGACATAAATAAAACACAACAATCAATTATACAAAATAACAGTCACTTCAATATCTCTGAGGTCAATCAATCAATCAATGTTTATTTATAGAGCCCAACATCACCAATTTTACATTTGTCATTTATCAATACGACCACTTCCAAAGAAACCCCCCAGTTAATGGAAGAAACCCCCCAGTTAATGGAGAAACCCCCAGTTAATGGAAGAAACCCCCAGTTAATGGAAGAAACCCCCAGTTAATGAGAGAAACCCCCAGTTAATGGGAAAACCCCCAGTTAATGGAAGAAACCCCCAGTTAATGGAGAAACCCCCCAGTTAATGGAGAAACCCCCAGTTAATGGAAGAAACCCCCAGTTAATGAGAGAAACCCCCAGTTAATGGAGAAACCCCCATTTAATGGAAGAAACCCCCCAGTTAATGGAGAAACCCCCAGTTAATGGAAGAAACCCCCAGTTAATGGAATAAACCCCCAGTTAATGGAGAAACCCCCATTTAATGGGAAAACCCCCCAGTTAATGGAAGAAACCCCCAGTTAATGGAGAAAACCCCCAGTTAATGGAAGAAACCCCCAGTTAATGTGAGAAACCCCCCAGTTAATGGAGAAACCCCCAGTTAATGGAGAAACCCCCAGTTAATGGAATAAACCCACCAGTTAATGGAGAAACCCCCAGTTAATGGAAGAAACCCCCAGTTAATGAGAGAAACCCCCAGTTAATGGAGAAACCCCCATTTAATGGAATAAACCCCCCAGTTAATGGAGAAACCCCCAGTTAATGGAAGAAACCCCCAGTTAATGAGAGAAACCCCCAGTTAATGGAGAAACCCCCATTTAATGGGAAAAACCCCCAGTTAATGGAATAAACCCCCAGTTAATGGAGAAACCCCCAGTTAATGTAGAAACCCCCAGTTAATGGAGAAACCCCCAGTTAATGAGAGAAACCCCCAGTTAATGAGAGAAACCCCCAGTTAATGAGAGAAACCCCCAGTTAATGGAGAAACCCCCAGTTAATGAGAGAAACCCCCAGTTAATGAGAGAAACCCCCAGTTAATGGAGAAACCCCCATTTAATGGGAGAAACCCCCCAGTTAATGGAGACACCCCCAGTTAATGGAGAAACCCCCCATTTAGTGGGAGAAACCCCCCAGTTAATGGAGACACCCCCAGTTAATGGAGAAACCCCCAGTTAATGGAGAAACCCCCCCATTTAATGGGAGAAACCCCCAGTTAATGGAGAAACCCCCCAGTTAATGGAGAAACCCCCAGTTAATGGAAGAAACCCCCAGTTAATGAGAGAAACCCCCATTTAATGGGAAACCCCCCCAGTTAATGGAATAAACCCCCCAGTTAATGGAATAAACCCCCAGTTAATGGCGAAACCCCCCAGTTAATGGAAGAAACCCCCCAGTTAATGGAAGAAACCCCAAGTTAATGGAGAAACCCCCAGTTATTTGAAGAAACCCCCAGTTAATGAGAGAAACCCCCAGTTAATGGGAGAAACCCCCCAGTTAATGAGAGAACCCCTCAGTTAATGGAGAAACCCCCAGTTAATGGGGGGGGGAAAACAGTTAATGAGAGAAACCCCCAGTTAATGGAGAAACCCCCAGTTAATGGGAGAAACCCCCCGTTAATGGGAGAAACCCCTTGTTAATGGAAGAAACCCCCAGTTAATGGAGAAACCCCCCATTTAGTGGAAGAAACCCCCAGTTTATGGGAGAAACCCCCAGTTAATGGGGAAACCCCGCATTTAGTGGGAGAAACCCCCCAGTTAATGGAGACACCCCCAGCTAATGGAGAAACCCCCAGTTAATGGAGAAACCCCCCATTTAATGGGAGAAACCCCCAGTTAATGGAGAAACCCCCAGTTAATGGAAGAAACCCCCAGTTAATGGAGAAACCCCCCAGTTAATGGGAGAAACCCCCCAGTTAATGGGAGAAACCCCCAGTTAATGGAAGAAACCCCCAGTTAATGGAGAAACCCCCAGTTAATGGAGAAACCCCCCAGTTAATGGGAGAAACCCCCCCCATTTAATGAGAGAAACCCCCCAGTTAATGGAGAAACCCCCAGTTAATGGAGAAACCCCCCAGTTAATGAGAGAGACCCCCAGTTAATGGAGAAACCCCCAGTTAATGGGAGAAACCCCCCAGTTAAAGGAGAAACCCCCAGTTAATGGAATAAACCCCCCCAGTTAATGGAGAAACCCCCAGTTAATGGAGAAACCCCCAGTTAATGGAGAAACCCCCCAGTTAATGAGAGAGACCCCCAGTTAATGGAGAAACCCCCCAGTTAATGAGAGAGACCCCCAGTTAATGGAGAAACCCCCAGTTAATGGAGAAACCCACCAGTTAATGAGAGAGACCCCCAGTTAATGGAGAAACCCCCAGTTAATGGAGAAACCCCCCAGTTAATGGAGAAACCCCCAGTTAATGGAGAAACCCCCCAGTTAATGGAGAAACCCCCAGTTAATGGAGAAACCCCCCAGTTAATGGGAGATACCCCCAGTTATTGTTATAACAGCAACAGAGGAGGACCCCCTCTCAGGACGGACAGACAATAGATGCCGTGTGTAAATTGAAAAGATAATACATTTACAACATAGGTAGTCCAAATGCTTGAAAATGCATGTGTTCAGGTTGTACTGAATAGAGCCTGAACGCACCACGGTGTATTATCTGTCTCTGAAGACCGCCCTCAAATGCAACGCTCAATCTCTGTTGGTGGTTCTTCCTTTGGAATGAAATGAACACTACGGCAACATTTTCACTGAAGATGAACGAGTATCGACACACGAAGTACCAGCCCCTGAAATCTTGTGCGGATACACTCAAAATCTGATTAACGCGGCGGGACTGAAGTGCTCTTAGTGTCTGGAGGGAGGAGGAGGAGGAGGAGGAGGAGGGAGGAGGAGGAGGAGGAGGAGGAGGAGGAGGAGGAGGAGGAGGAGGAGGAGGAGGAGGAGGAGGAGGAGGAGGAGGAATAAAATGCATTTATTGTTTGTATGAATTTTTTTTTTTCAAATGAGGTCATAGGAGAGAAAAATGGAGCTGTGTGTGTTTGAGTTGGCCTGCTCCCTGTTTAAGACTGAGACCTGTGTGTGTGTGTGTGTGTGTGTGTGTGTGTGTGTGTGTGTGTGTGTGTGTGTGTGTGTGTGTGTGTGTGTGTGTGTGTGTGTGTGTGTGTGTGTGTCTCACACTGTGGTCAGACTGCAGACGTCTGACTTCATCACTCACTCTGCAGACTGCCGCCACAGATCTGTTTTTTCTCCATATTCTGATTTTATACACAGCAAAGTAACAAAACACTACATTCTGAGATTGTCACAGAAGCATCTCCGTCCGGACGCTTTGTGAGTCTCACACCGGGGACACATATTTACGTCAAAAGACATACAAAAGTGACTTTTGCATAATAGAGGACCTTTAAATAATGTCATCAAGCAGAAGACTCTTAAAGCTTTTAACAAACGTACAAATAATCATCACTTCAGGAGCTCGGATCATCGTTGACTAGATGTGTACAAAGAAAAGAAATAAAAACCTGAGACACAGTAAAGGAAAAAGATGGGGACGGCCAATAACCCAAACGGTTAAGCAAAAACCTAGAGAGTCACGACCATAAAGCAATGAACACCATGGTGACGGCCGTGCGTGCGTGCGTGCGTGCGTGCGTGGGTGCGTGCGTGCGTGCGTGCGTGCGTGCGTGCGTGCGTGCGTGCGTGCGTGCGTGCGTTAGCTTCCCTAGAGCAAGTGGTGCTGCTCTGCCTGAATGAGGTGTGAATGGGTGAATGACTCGTAGTCTGTGAAGAGCTTTGAGGGGTTGAGAAGGCCTGATAACGAGATGTATAAGTACAGTCCAGTTACGCGTTAATACACTGTGCTGCATTCAGGCTCCATTCAGTAGAATGAGTCTTGTGAAATGGAGTGGTTGGTGTCTTCACAGCAATATAAATAGATATCTCAGTGAGTTAAGAGGTGATGAAGGACGCTGTGATGAAGTGCATGGGATTTATTGGTCTGTTTTTTACGGTGGTATTGAACACCACCTTTCTGGTACTGAGACGTCTCCAACACCAACCACATGGTGCGTTCAATGGCAAGGCCAAATGCAGGAATGTAGATCTTTGCCCTCTGAGATTGTGAGTTGAAAAGGAGAATTTAAATGGTCGTATGTGTGTGCTTGTTAAAAATGCAATATGATGAATACACATTGATTAAGTGATAGGTATGTTTATTTACATGAAAATAAAGAGCGTCAACTTGAGCTGTAGTATACGAGTACACACACTTAAGCCACCTGATGGAGGAGATGCACACACACACACACACACACACACACAGAAGGTAACAAAGACACACCATCAGTCTGCAGGAATGTCAGGAATCTACAGCAGAGCCAAGTCACATCCACGCTCCACAAAATTACCCCTATTAAGGACTCAGACAGGCTGCCTCCACACACACACACACACACACACACACACACACACACACACACACACACACACACACACACACACACACACACACACACACAGCAGTGTTTATATAACCCACATACAGACGCAGTGAGTGAAAGTGAAGCGTCAGTCTCAGTCTGAGAGCTAAACTAAACATGTTGTTAGATTTCATCATTTTTTCCATCTTCTCTGAAAACACTCATCGTGTCGTTCTGTGGAAACTCCTTCAGTTTCTTCTGTCTCTCTCCAGCAGGACTACGCTTATTTTAATCACAATTTAGGCTCCTTAACACGAAAGAGTTAGATTTTATTCTGCACCTGAAAGTGGTATATTCTTACTTAATTAAAATGATTGAACAGATAATATTCCATACGTCCTCCTGCCGCATAACATATGTCCTCCTGCCGCATAACATACGTCCTCCTGCCGCATAACATACGCCCTCCTGCCACATAACATACGTCCTCCTGCCACATAACATACGTCCTCCTGCCGCATAACGTACGTCCTCCTGCCGCATAACGTACGTCCTCCTGCCGCATAACGTACGTCCTCCTGCCGCATAACGTACGTCCTCCTGCCGCATAACATACGTCCTCCTGCCACATAACATACGTCCTCCTGCCACATAACATACGTCCTCCTGCCACATAACATACGTCCTCCTGCCACATAACATACGTCCTCCTGCCACATAACATACGTCCTCCTGCCACATAACATACGTCCTCCTGCCACATAACATACGTCCTCCTGCCGCATAACATACGTCCTCCTGCCGCATAACATACGTCCTCCTGCCGCATAACAGTACGTCCTCCTGCCGCATAACATACGTCCTCCTGCCGCATAACATACGTCCTCCTGCCGCATAACATACGTCCTCCTGCCGCATAACATACGTCCTCCTGCCGCATAACATACGTCCTCCTGCCGCATAACATACGTCCTCCTGCCGCATAACATACGTCCTCCTGCCGCATAACATACGTCCTCCTGCCACATAACATACGTCCTCCTGCCGCATAACATACGTCCTCCTGCCGCATAACGTACGTCCTCCTGCCGCATAACATACGTCCTCCTGCCGCATAACATACGTCCTCCTGCCACATAACATACGTCCTCCTGCCACATAACATACGTCCTCCTGCCACATAACATACGTCCTCCTGCCGCATAACATATGTCCTCCTGCCGCATAACATATGTCCTCCTGCCACATAACATATGTCCTCCTGCCACATAACATATGTCCTCCTGCCGCATAACATATGTCCTCCTGCCGCATAACATATGTCCTCCTGCCACATAACATATGTCCTCCTGCTAACCCTTAGCATCTTCGGTACCACTTTACAATAAGACTACCCTTATAAAGGATTCATAAAGGGTTATGAATTAGGTTGTAAACACTTTATCAATCATTAAGAACCATTTATAAACCAGCTCTAACATAGTTTTCATACATCAACACAGGCTCACTATTTGGCAAGATGACTAAGCCTTATATTGGCTACTTAGCGAGAATATTGGCTACTTAGCGAGAATAAACTCAGTGAGCAACAGATACCAAGGATGCTGGCTGATGAAGGAGACGAAGTAGGCTAGGTAGCCAATATAAGGCTTAGCAGTACAGATACATGTGGGCTCACTATTTGGCAAGCAACCGGTCACAGTCGCCCTGTTTATCTCATGTCTTATAAAAGCTTATTAATGATTTATAAAGTGTTCACAACCTAATTAAAAAGTAAAAGTGTAGAGATTTGGAGAAAAGGGTCAACATTTTCAGATAAAAATAGACATTTTGAGATTTGAGAAAAAAATGTATGACTTTTTAATGACTTATATCAGGATTTTGGGATTTTCTGAAAAAAGTAAACATTTCCGATTTTCAGAAAAAAGTCAAAATGTATATTTTCGGAAAAAAGTCTGAATTTTTTGATCTTCTGAAAAAGTCTGAATTCTGAGATTGTCATACTGCCTGTGCTGCAGCACCTCTTTTCACCCTCTGTCTGAAACCAGAGCCCAGTCTGCTCTGATTGGTTAGCTGGACGGCTCTGTTTTGATTGGTCAACCACTTAGAGATGTCCCGCACCTTTAGCCTATCACGTACAATGTGTTGGAGCGCTAGTGAAAAAAATGGTCCAATGGAGGGACATTTGGGGGACGTTTGGGGGACTGTGTAGGAGAGAAGCTCCCTCTTGAGGAAACACAGAGATTGTTAGCCTAGCTTAGCACAGAGACTGTTAGCGCTCACCTCTCAGTTTCAGCTGCAGCTCCTGGATGAGCTCCTGCTGTCGGGGCAGGAGAGGGGCGGGGGGCCCCGGAGGCCCCTGGGGGCCCGGGGGTCCTGGAGGGCCGGGGAGACCGTGCTGCACGGACAGAAGATTCAGTACAGTGTAGAAAGGGCAATGAAACTCTTCTGGCCTGAGCTTTTCCAACAATGCAACATATATAATAAAATACAAAATTACAAATAAAAAATGGTGCAAGACGTCTATATACATGTAAATAGAATATGATGTGTACAAGAACTTAATATGAAATTAAATAATGGACATTAAGACGACATTAAATACGGTGTATTGCGGTGATAGCCTAACTATTTGTATAAATGATTAGATTGCAAGAGGACAAACAGAGGAATGTTTATCGGGGCAGGAGAATCAGAATTCCTGTATTGTCCCTCAACGATTTTCATTTCCATATCTTCACTGCAGCTACAGTGCACATGACAATAAAGCCTTGAAACTTGAAACTGTACGGTATTTTAAAAGCAAGACTATAGTGCAGATAAGGTAAACAAAGTAGACTTACATATTATGTAAAAACTTACACACACGTTTTGAATCATACACAAAAACACAATAAGTATCAGCAAATAACAGATATGTATACAGTGGTCAAATAAACCAAGTAGCAATATATACAAAACATATATTTAGGTAGCTGGAAAAGTTTACATTTAATATAAACAAGAATACAAACACATGTCCCTAAATGAGTTTTGTTTTGAGGACATATCTCATTAACATGAAGGTTTTGTTTTTTAAGAAATCAATACATCTTTCTGTTTTTTTGTCTTTTGTGTAATATTAATTGCTCACTAATGAAACAGAAGCCTTTTTCATCCAAATCATCTCTGGAGTAATCTGCAGACCACTGAAATATATCCAGCTCTTCTCTAAATTGAATCTACGTGTACAATTCAAATGTTATAGTTTAGGTGTTTCATCAGCCCTAGTCCCATGAGTTCTGCTTCACATATTAAAATGCACCAAACAAAAACAGTTACTTTGCAGAAACAGTGTTTAAGAGCTGCACCTTGTGAGACTTTGAGTCAATGCTTTTTCTTTCCCTTTGCATCAATCTCCAGCTACTGTAATTGTCTCTGGGTTCAATGTCTCACCTTGGAGGTCCTCCGGGACGCTTTGCTCCGACGGTTGTCCCCCTTGTTGGAGTTTCTCCTGAAGATCAGCCAGGAGCTCAGAGGAGACACTCGGGACAGATCGGAGGATTCCTGCAGGAGGTTAAAGAAAACAAGGTTCGTTTGATTAAATATGTATTTCACATTAATGATTAACCAAAAGAGAGATGCCGGAATGAGTCCTAAACCAAGACATGAGTCAGCATTTCATCACGTTCCTTTCTAGCCCAACATTAGCCTCCTTTAGCTTAGCGGTGGTGACGTGAAGTCATGTGACCGTGCTGTAGTTCCTTCATAGCCCAACATTAGCCTCCTTTAGCTTAGCGGTGGTGACGTGAAGTCATGTGACCGTGCTGTAGTTCCTTTATAGCCCAACATTAGCCACCTTTAGCTTAGCGGTGGTGACGTGAAGTCCTGTGACCGTGCTGTAGTTCCTTTATAGCCCAACATTAGCCTCCTTTAGCTTAGCGGTGGTGACGTGAAGTCATGTGACCGTGCTGTAGTTCCTTTATAGCCCAACATTAGCCACCTTTAGCTTAGCGGTGGTGACGTGAAGTCATGTGACCGTGCTGTAGTTCCTTTATAGCCCAACATTAGCCACCTTTAGCTTAGCGGTGGTGACGTGAAGTCATGTGACCGTGCTGTAGTTCCTTTATAGCCCAACATTAGCCACCTTTAGCTTAGCGGTGGTGACGTAAAGTCATGTGACCGTGCTGTAGTTCCTTTCTAGCCCAACATTAGCCACCTTTAGCTTAGCGGTGGTGATGTGAAGTCATGTGACCGTGCTGTAGTTCCTTTATCGCCCAACATTAGCCTCCTTTAGCTTAGCAGTGGTTTCTTGAAGTCATGTGACCGTGCTGTAGTTCCTTTATAGCCGAACATTAGCCTCCTTTAGCTTAGCGGAGGTGACGTGAAGTCATGTGACCGTGTTGTAGTTCCTTTATAGCCCAACATTAGCCTCCTTTAGCTTAGCGGTGGTGACGTGAAGTCATGTGACCGTGTTGTAGTTCCTTTATAGCCCAACATTAGCCTCCTTTAGCTTAGCGGTGGTGACGTGAAGTCATGTGACCGTGCTGTAGTTCCTTTATAGCCCAACATTAGCCACCTTTAGCTTAGCGGAGGTGACGTGAAGTCATGTGACCGTGTTGTAGTTCCTTTATAGCCCAACATTAGTCTCCTTTAGCTTAGCGGTGGTGACGTGAAGTCATGTGACCGTGCTGGAGTTCCTTTATAGCCCAACATTAGCCTCCTTTAGCTTAGCGGTGGTGACGTGAAGTCATGTGACCGTGCTGCAGTTCCTTTATAGCCCAACATTAGCCTCCTTTAGCTTAGCGGTGGTGAGGTGAAGTCATGTGACCGTGCTGTAGTTCCTTTATCGCCCAACATTAGCCTCCTTTAGCTTAGCGGTGGTTTCTTGAAGTCATGTGACCGTGCTGTAGTTCCTTTATAGCCCAACATTAGCCTCCTTTAGCTTAGCGGTGGTGACGTGAAGTCATGTGACCGTGTTGTAGTTCCTTTATAGCCCAACATTAGCCTCCTTTAGCTTAGCGGTGGTGATGTGAAGTCATGTGACCGTGCTGTAGTTCCTTTATAGCCCAACATTAGCCTCCTTTAGCTTAGCGGTGATGACGTGAAGTCATGTGACCGTGCTGTAGTTCCTTTATAGCCCAACATTAGCCTCCTTTAGCTTAGCGGTGGTGATGCGAAGTCATGTGACCGTGCTGTAGTTCCTTTATAGCCCAACATTAGCCTCCTTTAGCTTAGCGGTGGTGACGCGAAGTCATGTGACCGTGCTGTAGTTCCTTTATAGCCCAACATTAGCCTCCTTTAGCTTAGCGGTGGTGACGTGAAGTCATGTGACCGTGCTGTAGTTCCTTTATAGCCCAACATTAGCCTCCTTTAGCTTAGCGGTGATGACGTGAAGTCATGTGACCGTGCTGTAGTTCCTTTATAGCCCAACATTAGCCTCCTTTAGCTTAGCGGTGGTGACGCAAAGTCATGTGACCGTGCTGTAGTTCCTTTATAGCCCAACATTAGCCTCCTTTAGCTTAGCGGTGGTGATGTGAAGTCATGTGACCGTGCTGTAGTTCCTTTATAGCCCAACATTAGCCTCCTTTAGCTTAGCGGTGATGACGTGAAGTCATGTGACCGTGCTGTAGTTCCTTTATAGCCCAACATTAGCCTCCTTTAGCTTAGCGGTGGTGACGCGAAGTCATGTGACCGTGCTGTAGTTCCTTTATAGCCCAACATTAGCCTCCTTTAGCTTAGCGGTGGTGACGCGAAGTCATGTGACCGTGCTGTAGTTCCTTTATAGCCCAACATTAGCCTCCTTTAGCTTAGCGGTGGTGACGCGAAGTCATGTGACCGTGCTGTAGTTCCTTTATAGCCCAACATTAGCCACCTTTAGCTTAGCAGACCAGGGAGATGCTGTCTGCAGGGACCAACACAGAAATACATCATCCCTTGACTTCAGTGGTGTAGTGGGGATTTTTTTACTGGGTGGACGGGGCAGGGGGGGAGAGACACTATGGATGCGCTCGTGAACTGTCAACGAGGGTGGGGGGGGGGGTACACTGTGGACCTCTGTGGACCTCTGGCAACTTACATGATGCCGTTTAAAAAATATATTAATAAAGGGCGGTGCCGGCCTTTCTGCGCGATTGTCACTCAAATGCGGGGCATAATCTCAATTTGTGGGATGCGGGACAAATGATAAAAACGCTGTGTGCAGTCGGTGCTGCCCCTCACACACACATACGCTTCAAATCAAGTTGCATAAATACTTGAGCTACGTTTTTATTGTCATTAATGTGAAATGTATGATGTTTCCATCATTATTACAACAAATACACACTTGCAACTGATAATACTGACAATGATTTTATATTTATTAGACTATTCAAAAAAAGATCATGCTTCAAAAAAGTGGGGACTCCAAATAAGTGGGGGTCGGCGATCTCCCGCGTCCAACAACCACGACACCACTGCTTGACTTGTTGGATATCCTCTATCATAACCTACTGCAGCCTATCAGGACAAAGCCCTGGACCTGGGGGGGACAGGGCCTACGCTGCAGCCCCCCCCCCCCCCCCCTCACTATGGAACTCCCTCCCCAGCCACGTTAGATCTGCCAACACTCTCACATCATTCAAACAATCCCTCAAACCTTTTCACTCTTGCCTTCAACTCCTAATCCACTAACGCCTCGCCCTTATTCCACCTAGCTTAGCACGTTTTGCTTTTGTTGTTATTTTGTTTTACTTGCTTGTAGGCGCTTTGAGCACCAGGACAAGCGCTATATAAATGTAATGCATTATTATTATCAACTATTATTTTGAAGAAACCCACATTTGGAATTTGGGGCACGAAGGACGTTTTTGGGCCATAACTCAAGAATTCAGTTGCTAATTATGACAATTTAGCACAATTGTGTGATTGGGTGGAATGACGGAGCGATGACAGTTCGATGGAGACGGCTGGCTGGCGGAGGCATGCAACTGAATATCTTCTTTTCAAGTATTTGATCAGAAAATCTTTCAGTAGCACGACTGGAATAGTCCTGATGGATCCAGACAATATAACGTAGACATTGAGCGATTAAATAATAAACGTTTGCTGTGTGTTGGACACCATATCCCGTCTAAAGCCACAACAAGCAGTCAACCCACATTCAACCTCCTTTTCATATTTAAGCTGTTTTATCCGGCACTGTCCGACATTTCCGTTGCTTCCTCCATTGGACTCCTTTGTTTACTTCCGGTACTCTTTAAAGTAGAGACACTTCATACTGATATACACCTGAACATCATCAGGAGAGCACTCTTTAAAGTAGAGACACTACATACTGATATACACCTGAACATCAGCAGGAGAGGACTCTTTAAAGTAGAGACACTACATACTGATATACACCTGAACATCAGCAGGAGAGGACTCTTTAAAGTAGAGACACTACATACTGATATACACCTGAACATCAGCAGGAGAGGACTCTTTAAAGTAGAGACACTACATACTGATATACACCTGAACATCAGCAGGAGAGGACTCTTTAAAGTAGAGACACTACATACTGATATACACCTGAACATCAGCAGGAGAGGACTCTTTAAAGTAGAGACACTACATACTGATATACACCTGAACATCAGCAGGAGAGGACTCTTTAAAGTAGAGACACTACATACTGATATACACCTGAACATCAGCAGGAGAGGACTCTTTAAAGTAGAGACACTACATACTGATATACACCTGAACATCAGCAGGAGAGGACTCTTTAAAGTAGAGACACTACATACTGATTTACACCTGAACATCAGCAGGAGAGGACTCTTTAAAAGTAGAGACACTACATACTGATATACACCTGAACATCAGCAGGAGAGGACTCTTTAAAGTAGAGACGTACTACATACTGATATACAACCTGAACATCAGCAGGAGAGGACTCTTTAAAGTAGAGACACTACATACTGATATACACCTGAACATCAGCAGGAGAGGACTCTTTAAAGTAGAGACAACTACATACTGATATACACCTGAACATCAGCAGGGAGAGGACTCTTTAAAGTAGAGACACTACATACCTGATATACACCTGAACATCAGCAGGAGAGGACTCTTTAAAGTAGAGACACTACATACTGATATACACCTGAACATCAGCAGGAGAGGACTCTTTAAAGTAGAGACACTACATACTGATATACACCTGAACATCAGCAGGAGAGAACTCTTTAAAGTAGAGACACTACATACTGATATACACCTGAACATCAGCAGGAGAGGACTCTTTAAAGTAGAGACACTACATACTGATATACACCTGAACATCAGCAGGAGAGGACTCTTTAAAGTAGAGACACTACATACTGATATACACCTGAACATCAGCAGGAGAGGACTCTTTAAAGTAGAGACACTACATACTGATATACACCTGAACATCAGCAGGAGAGGACTCTTTAAAGTAGAGACACTACATACTGATATACACCTGAACATCAGCAGGAGAGGACTCTTTAAAGTAGAGACACTACATACTGATATACACCTGAACATCAGCAGGAGAGGACTCTTTAAAGTAG